CGGCGACTGACTGTGCACATTCGGAGCCAACGCACACGTAAGCAAACACAAAGACGAGAGCTGTGGCAGGTGGAAGTGTGGGGCTGACGGGGGACTGTGCGTGATGCTATCTGCGCGATAGGATCTGGATTACTGCGGCTCCTTGAAGCAAGACAAACAACTCCTGCTAATTGAATTCCTTTGAAGAAACCCCCCTAAGACGGACATCTCCATGGCCCCCGTTTTGACAAGCTTTCATGCGAGTGTATGGCTTTCACACATCATTTCCTCCCTTGATATTACTGTAACAATGACCCAACGGCATGCAGAAACATTCCTATTTCATAACGAACCTCTGGGTTTTTTAATTAGCAGAGTGAAAGGAAAACTAGCAGTTGTGATATGGAGACAGTGGAGGGATTGCAGGCGTTTAGGGGCGATCATATGATCTGCTCTCACATGTCAGCGTACGTCCCCGCCGGCTCTGTCACAGCCCGCATTCATCCGTAGTTCAACATTTACTCATCTGTAACAATAACTTCATTTCAGCCCGGGAGTACGTCACGACTCAGCCACCAACTGCAGGGAGAGAGAGACACATCTCATCCCTCTCCACTGGAAGCGTGACACAAAGGACAACAGTGTTGTGGTGTCTCTCTGACCTCTGAGGTTCTGGCGTGACGCTGAGCGCCGAGGAGCGGCTGACTGTACTCCCAGTCCCAAACGCACGAGCCGGGGGCCATCTGACCCACCACAAGCTCCATGTGATGACATCAACTCCTGGAGTGGCCCCTCCCCGCAGAGGAGAGGGCTTTTTTCCCCCCCTTAACTTCAGCTAATGAGACTGGGTGGGGGCGACATTTAATCATCTATGTGAAAACACTCAAATCTGCTGGGTTTGATTTAATAAGCAGCAGGCTCTTTTTCTTAACTGAGACTGAGCTTTCCATCCAGAGACTCATACTGGAGATCTGTACCTACTGCGCAAATACTCTTTATATACAGTCACATAATACAGTTTCACTCTAGCATTCTTTGCACTGCTTCTAGCTTAGTACTAGCCAGAACGCATCATAAATAGTTTTCAGTATTCAGTTAACTTGAACATAAATGCTGTACTGTACGATTGTTATTTTCTCTTTGAAGGCAAACAAAATGCTCCCAGCATGCTTGTTTACTGCTGGGAACGGGTGTAATTCTTAAGTGACAGCGATTAGAGGTTACACACAGTTGCAGCATGATGAGGATCAGAGCTTCACCATGACTGCTGCCAGCTCTGTGCACTGGCCACTACACAGGGAACGGGTCCAAACCTGTGCTCCTGCTGCAGAGCGTACACCCACAGTAAACAAAGTGACATTAGCAATGATGTGAGCACGCTTCACACCTGCACTTCCCAGTAGTAACATGGCTCTTTCTCAAACAGATCGCAGTACAGTGGTACAGTACATCATACGTGTACAGTACACCCCAGCAGCATGAATCAAAGCTTCATAAAGGGATGAATGGGGGTCACACTGACTGAGTCGGAGCCAATTCCAAGAGCAGGTGTTGTTATCCAGGTTGAGTGGAGATGCGGTCTAAAGTGGGTCAATGGCAAGTTTAAAACAAGACATGACTTCAGGAGCAAATACCCGGACCAAGACTGCACAAACCTACAGATCTGTTACTATGATCACATCTGGATTCAGATCTACACCAAAATGCACACAGAGACAGATATGTGCTAGACTGTTTTCATTCAAGTGCATGGAGAAAAGTGCAAATTCATAATGTTCACCACTTGTCACTTATTCTACAAGCCCTGACCCACTTTTCTACTAATTATGATCACATCTGTCCTTAACTTGAAGGTACTCAGCTAAATCAGACCCCTTTAAAATGGTCACAAGAAGAGAAAAAGGAGGAAACAGTGGAAGAAAAAAATAGCAGTAGGTCACTTTTATAAAAAATAACGATAATGACTGTTGAGTTTCAGCCCCAGTTCGCTTTGGGTTGGCAGCTTGAAGAGAGCAAGTTGTTGAGTTTCATTCCTAAAGGGACCGAAAGTGTTGCCATTTGACAACCTGGGGGTCAGGCTCAACAATAAACTCTCTCTGCTCTGATTGGTTGTTTTTGTTCAGGCCTGGTGGGTTCTTGTAGATGCCACTAGGAGCACTAGGAGGAGAGGCTTTGTCAAATATGACATATTTTTATAAAAGTTACCCACTTCAGCTTTAGTCTACAATATCAGCTGACATGTTCAGGGCCTTGAAGGGGGGCTGCTCTGTTTCATAATCCTTAGGGCCTGTCTTGCAGAGTGTCAAAGTCTAGTTACAAGTTTATTATTACAGTTTTGTGCTTACTTGTTGTATATTCCTACATTCATTTTAGTTTTGTTTGCATAGAGGGAAGAAGAAATTGGGATCTAATGAGGACCCATCTGTTCATTTTTGCCCCAAGGCAGATTATTCTGGCCATAATTTAGTAATCACCTATAACAGAAAAAAAAAACAATTGCAGACTAAAGTACATTTTTGGGACTACTCATCAAAATAAGAGCAACTCGTACATGCTTACACATCTACTAGTGTGTTAGATTTCCTGTGTTCTACTGTCCTAACTTCCTCACCTCTGTGTGATAACCTGCTGCCAGCACAAAGTATGTGCCTGTCAGTCCGTGGCGGGGTGAACGCTCATTATGAACACGGTGCTTTGGCAGCGTTTCACCATACTGTAAGAGCATGAGTAGCTGTTTAAGCTGTCTAACTGGGCCTAACAAAAGGAACATTTTATCAGGGATACCTACTATGCATGCCTCATCCTATTGTACAGCGCCAGGAATAAAAAATAAAAAAAAAGTGCAGCTCATAACTCATCCTGACAAGAGCAGTGTTTTTCTGCAAAAAGCCACGAGTCAGACGGGGACATCTGCAATACAGAACTTCACTGCAAGAATGCCACATTTAACGCAAACATGGAAGTAAGGATTATCTTACTCTGGGATTTTCCAGTCTGGTAGGAGTAATGTGGACTTCCAACAGTCATCAAATGATTAGGATTCCTAAAATCCAGATCTGCACCCACACACTGGTTCCTGTGCTTGGTTTTCAAGACTACTACCTCTCAGAGATTATCCTGGCCACCTGGGGACAGACCCCAGCATTCAGCATCCTGAACTCAGCAGGCCATAACGTCACATGGTTGTAAAACAGCAGCTTTGTCTTCTTGGTGCAGAAATCTTCGTGGAGTAAAGCGAACTGCCTGCCAGCTGCTGGCACTGCTCAAAACCCTAGGCTTTCTGAAAATAGGGATAACAGTACTTCTGCAGCAAAAAGAAAGCCGTGGAAATTACATCTCCACATCACATCGTATCACTTCCAGTTTCTGTGGTTTTCCCTCGAGAACCACCTAAAATACATTCATTACAAGTGGCACGTCCTGCTGTCCGCGCGCGTTGTAAATAGCGGCTGCTTAATTAAGAAGCAGTTCTTAAAGAGAGAACATGCTGACGTAAGAGAAAAGCTACTGGGCGCCTAATGGCAGCGGCAGATGATATAATCAATTACACTAATTTTGCAAACACAACGTGTGGAACAAATGGGCCTGGTCAGGTTTAATGGGCCGACGGGGTGGATGGAGGGACGCCCATCACTGTTTTGGAAAGGTGACAGAGGTGATGAGAGCAATTAACCCCAATTACGAAAGGAAAGGAGGGAGAACACGAGGAGGAGGAGGAGGAGGAGGAGGCTCGGCATCACAGGAAGGTATTCATATCCTCAGCACAGAGGTCGTCCCCAGACCAGAGTTTTAAACTTGGATACAATACTAGCATGCAAAAAGCAATACTCAATACCACACAAAATAGGAATTATAAAAAATAAAATAAAGCTGCACAGTGTTGGTAGAGAAAAAGCCACTGAACACATAATGA